CCAATCTCTAAGCAATTAGACATCCCTTACAGAAGGGTTGTGGGGAGAAGATGGGCCAGTCAGGGTGCAGTACAGCACCGATGAAATATACAGCTTTCCTCTGATTCTTTAATGTTTCCTCCCCTCCTCCACTATCATGACCCTAATTCTACCCTACAAATCTGGCTAGACCACAGCATGTACATGGGTACAGCTAAGAGCTGGAAACACAGGGAATACAGGACAGATAAACTCCTCGGGACCAATTGAGAGTAGCCATACCAGGAGGGGAAGGGGAAGGTGGGGGGACAGAGGGGGAACCGATCGTAATGACCTACCTATAACCCCTTCCTAGGGGAATGGACAACAGACAAGTGGGTAAAGGGATACAATGAGCTACTATAACCCCCTCCCAGGGGGATGGACAGCAGACAAGGGGATAAAGGGAGACATTCGGACAGTGCAAGACATGAAAAAATAATAATAATTTATAAATTATCGAGAGTTCATGAGGGAGGGAGGGAGGGAAGGAGGGAGGGAGGGAGAAAAATGAGGAGCTGATACCAAGGGCTCAAGTAGGAAGAAAATGCTTTGAAAACAATGATGGCAACATACGTACAAATGTGTTTGAGGCAATGGATGGATGTATGGATTGTGATAAGAGTCGCACAAGCCCCCAGTAAAATGATTTTTAAAAGATTTCAGCCTCGGAAACTGAGCAGGACTGTTCTACTCTGTGGTAGGTGAGAGTTGGTACTGACCCTGTGGCAGACTGCAGCAACAAGGATGGCTAAATAATTTGCTTTTATCAGCCAAAAAAACATAATTAAAGATTCACTGACTTGTCAGTTTTATGGAGGCTCCTTTCATGAAATGTAGGGCTCCTTTAGCAGAAACATAGAGATGAAACTTTGTCATTGACCAGTGGATGCTTGAATGGCACAGAGCAAGCCAGTGCTGAAGGAGGACTGTCACTGAGCAGCGCTTTGCCACGTTACTGTGGCTCTATGGAAAGGGCAGTCAGTCATTTCTACTACAGAGCAGTACCACTAGGGAGACTTGCCGAACAGAAACTCTGTTGTTTACTTAAGCTTTTCTAGGCAAAACGAATCCCTTTTCTATGAAACCATCATTTCATCATTGAGGACTAAGTGGATACAAAAGCCAAGCCAACTGCAGCCACTGCCTTTGAGTCATTTCCAAAGCAGAGATTCGGTGCAGGGTTCCTGAGACTGTAAATCTTTATGGACGCAGAGAGCCTCATCTTTCTCCCACGTGGAAGAAATTAAAATTAAACCTCCTTTTCACTACTGGAATCACACGTCACAGTGACATTGGGGTGGGGGGTGGGGGGCTAAGACTAGCTCTGAACTGAACTAATATATTTTTAAAATCTCACTTCTTTTTGAAGTTAAACCAGGGTATCATTTTTGTCTCTTCTTTCTATCTCACATCACTGTCAGCCAATCAATCATTCAATATTGCTCACTTCAGGTTCCAAGTATTATATTCCTTAAATCCCCTACCATCAATCACCCATCACCGACTTCAGGCTGTCACTGGTACTAGATTATTGCATCAGCTGATCCTCAGTCTCCCCATCTTCCATTTGTACTGAACGGCCACCGTGCAGTACAAAAGCCTTCAGTTCAATCCCCATTGCCTGCCCCTTCCCATCCACATATATTTACCAAGTGCCTACTAGGTGGCAGACACTGGCATGGCACCTATGGATGAACTGAGGTCCTTAATAAGACCTATAAGAGATCCTTAGTGTGGCCCCTGCATCCTCCCTAATCTGCTAGTCACCCCCAAATTCTTCAGTCTATTGATGTGACCTGCTCCTTGCTTTGTGAACTTACCTCTCTATCTCTGGCCTCTGCATCGTCTACAGAATGCCTTTCCCTGCCTTACCCCACTCTAGTTCTACAGGCTTTACATTCTAGGAGCCACTCCTCTTGAAGCTTTCCCCACTAGGTAGACGAGAGAGGCCCTCAACCAGATGGATGGACACAGTGGCTGGACCAACGAGCTCAAGCATAGGAACAATTACAAGGATGGCGCAGAAGCGGGCAGTATTCTGTTCTGTTGTACTAAGGGTCACTCTGGGTCAGAACTGACTTGATGGCACCTAATGATAACAACAACAACAACAAGAACGAGTGTCTGGCACTCAGTAGTGTCAAGCATGTTGTGAATATCTTCTGGATAAATTACAAATATGTAAAGAATTCAAACAGTTTCTACTACTTTCAAAGTATTTTCAATTAAAACTGACATTAGGCATACTGACATGCTCAGTTTATGGAAAACACATTGCCTCTATTTACACTTGATCTTAGCCAAAAGGCTGAGAAGCGATATTCCCCCCATTTAACATGGCTCCCGAGAATGCTGACAGCCAGCAACATTGTTTATAACAGTTACAGCCCCTGCTAGCCAGGAATTCCCAATGGTGGCCTGCACTACCCAGCTTTCCTCCTGGAGACATACTTTTAAAGACTGTAGGCCACAAAGTGTACATCGTAACCTAATACAACCAGAACACAAACGTTGTTCCTTATCAGGTGTGCAAATGAGGAGACAAAAACACACAAACACCAGCAACTCAGCTTACAATGAACATCCTTAAAAAGAAAAGTCTTACCCTTGAGGCTGATTTGAAAGTTAGTCATCCGAAAGTCTCTGAAAGAACAGCTAGAGGTGGAGAGAGCCAAAAGGCAATTTCACAGTGCGGCTAGCAATGTGGTTGTGGAACCTGGGATGCTTTCCAGCTGTCCTTTATCTAAGGCGGTGGTTCTCAACCTTCCTATCGCCACGACCCTTTCATACAGTTCCTCGTGTTGTGGTGACCCCCCCAACCATAACATTACTTTTGTTGCTACTTCATCACTGCAATTTTGCTACTGTTATGAATTGAGCGACCCCTGTGAAAGAGTCGGTTGGCCCCCAAAGGGGTCGCGACCCACAGGTTGAGAATCGCTGCTCTAAGGTTTGAAAAGTTCCCATCTCAACAGAAGTCGCCAGGAGAGCCATAAGCAGTGCCAAAGCCACACAGGGGAAAGCTGTCCAATGCATTTGGAAAATCTGGAAAGCTTCCCGGGAGGGATGGTGTTTCAGAGGGACTTAAAGGGCATGTGACAATACAGCAGGTAGAAATCGTGGACAGACAGAGGGAGGATTATTCAGCACAGATAATGTCACTCACCAGGGCTGCATAAGAAGAAGGAGAAGTTATTTTCTCAACATGCTGTGACGAGAAGTCCTCCTTCTTGAGAAGATGCTTTGATATATACTAAAGTAGCCCTGGTAGTAAGGTGGTGATGCATTGGACTGCTAACCTCGAGGTTAGGAGTTCAAAACCACCAGTTGGTCCATATGGGAAAGATGAAGTTTCCACTCCAGTCTCAGAAACCCACAGGGGCAGTTCTACACTGTCCTGTCGGTCCCCACAAGTCAGGATTGACTCACTGGCAGTGAGTTTGGTGGTTTTGGTTCTAGGGTGCTGAGTAATACTATTTATGTTGGGTTAGAAGAAAGATTATTCCTCAGATGGAAGGTGAAGGAAGTTAAAAAAATTTTTTTAAGTGAGGCAAGCATTAAAAAAACCAGCTGAGGAGAATAATTGACAGCCAAGCCTAGAAAATGGATATGAAAATGTTTCTTGATCACCTTGAATGACTCCAAGCATATCTAGTGTCGTGTGGTTTCTAACCACATTAGCCTGTTTTGTAGTGCTTTGTTTCTACTTTACTCAAAGGCCATCATATCATTGTCATCATCAACAACAACAATAACCACCCTTCCATCCCTATATATCGTTGCTGAAAATGGACAGTGGTGCCCACTTAGCTCCCCTGACACATGCATGGTCCTAGGAGAAAAGAATCTGTTGTCCATATGGTTGACAGATGGCCCAGTGTACTTAGAACACTGGTCCCCCAAATTGGAAAATCAGCGAGTGGGTGTGTAAGAGGCTGTCTACTTATGGAAAATCAGTTTGAAAGTGTCTAATGAAATCCAAATTCCTGTCTACCTAAAATATGGTGCCTTTGAGTTTAGGTTTTGTTGGCAGAGTGCTACATAAATGCAATAAAAGCTGATGTTACTATGTTTTCTTTGCAATAAATATCCACTTTAACTAACTGGATGGCAGAAAGAAACTGGATCCTAGAAAGTGTAAACCCCTACAACCCTAGACTGAACAAGGTAGTAATTATGTGAACCCCAGGCAGGCTCAGGTTCAACAACCCTAGACCAGACCATTAGCGGTTGTCTGAGAGACCCCGGCTGCTCTGAAGTTTCTGCACCAAGAGACCAGCTGGTCTGCACAACTAGCATAAACCAAAACCCAAACTCACCCCTGCCAAGTCGAGGTGGACACCTAGGGACTCCATAGGACAGGGTAGAACTGCCCAAGGCTATGACTCTTTGCAGAAGTAAAAAGCCCATCTTTTCCCCAGGGAGCAGTCGGTTGTTTCAACCGGCTTACTTTGTGGAGAGCAGCCTGACACGTAACCCCTACGCCACCAGAGCTCCACAACTTGCACAGCCAAGGCCAATTCTCAGCTACATGTCCCTGCCTATTCCACTTGCAAAATTGATGGGTTTATAGAGGCTTGATAGAGTAAAGCCTGTTTGCTTTCTTAACCACATAAAATTGAATAATTTTCAAAATGAGATTCATGACATTAGGATCAAGCCCTTGGAATTCCACTCACAAGCTGTGCCGCTCTCCCTACCAATGGAAGGATGACCGCAAACGGGGACACTGAAGGGATGAACTGTCACCACAGAGGAGGTTCCCGACTCCCATGCATGTGCATAAAGCATACACCCTGTCATACAAACACAGCTCCCTTGCACACACTCTATCAGAACTGCCTTTGTCCAGAAAGATAAAGAAGGGCAATAAAAATATGCCACTCAAGCCCAATTGGGTTTAAGGTTAGAAGTCCTTAAAACAGAAGAGGCTCTTTGATGAAAGAGGAAGGCATGAGGTGGCAGCACGGGTTACTTACCTCTTCTCCCACCTTGATGTCTCGCACTGCATGCAGCAAGAGGTGGGGCCCGTTGAATACGATGGAACAGTTGGGGTCACAGCTATGGTTGAGCAAAGACATACTGGGGGGAAGGGGGGAAAAAAGAGAGAGATGATTATAATTCAGGAAGGAAAGGTAGAACAGCTACATTTAATGGATACTATGGGCAAAAGATTCAATGCATTTGAATTGTGGTGCTGGGGAAGAATATTGAAAGAATCACGGGCTGCTATAAGGACAAACTGATCTGTCTTAGAAGAAGTAGAGCCAGAGTGCTGCTTGGAGGCAAGGAGGGCAAGACTTCATCTCCTATACTTTGCACATGTTGTCAGGAGAGCCCAGTCTCTGGAGGAGAACATCATGCTTGGTACAGCAGAGGGACAGCGAAAGAAGGAAGACCCTCAATGAGATGGAATGACACAGTGGCTGCGACAATGGGCTCAAGCACAGCAACAATGTGGGGACGGGGTTCCGCTCTGCGGTGCATTGGGTCGCGATGACTGGTTGGCACCCAACAGCAACAGGAGCTGACTGGTTGGCACCCAACTGGTTGGCACCCAACAGCAACAGGAGCAAAAGAAGGTGGTGTGGTGGACCAAGAGCTGGGCTGCCAACTGCAAGGTCAGCAGCTCACACACACCTCCTTTAAATAGAATGTGGATGTTAGCTTGTTAACTAGTTAACGGCTCCTGCGGCATTCTGGGCCTTGACCTAAGTAGTCATTCCATTACCCAAGAGGTGCCTTTTTTTGCCATTTGGGAAATGGGTCAAATTTAAGCTATCACATAAATTGATAATCAATCATAATAACTATAAGTGAGTACTTTGTTAGCACTTAAGCATATATGTTATCAAACTTAATCATGAAAACCATCTTAAGAAAATAAAAAAGAAAGAAAGAAAACCATTGGATAGGATCATGTACAGATAAAGAATCTGATGCCCTGGAGTTAAATGCACAACTAACAAATGGTGACTAAGTTTAAGCCACTTGGTCTGAATTCAGAGCCATCTCTTAACCATTAAATTACTGTATTGGAAAACTACTTTAACCGCCTATGCTACTACAGCGCTCTGGTGGTGTAGTTATCGTTGGGTTGCTAACGGCAAGGTCAGCAGCTGAAAACCCCAATCTGCTCCATGGAAGAAAGACTTGGCTTTCTATTCCCATAAAGAGTTCATCTCGGAAACTCAGGGGGCAGCCTTATCATGCCCTATAGGATCACTATGAGTATAAATCTTTGAGTACGGTACTTGTGAAAAATATGAAGAGCCAAATGCTTAGATTTATAATTAATCATAAGAACGAGTATGCTAGCCTTTGAGTTCTAAAATCAAAAGGAAGTACACCGATGTGGAGGGCAGTAGACCTGCCCCCGCAGGCTTTCTGAGGCTGTCATCCGCAGAGGAGGAGGCTACCACATCTTTCTCCCGTGGAGGAGCCGGGGGTTCAAACTGCTGAGCTTTGGGTTGGCAGGCAAGTGCTTAACCACTGAGCCACCTGGGCGCCTTCATTTGGACCCGAATCATTTAAGAACAAAGTGTGAACAGGATCGACTCTGCAGTGCTTACAGAAGAGCTGTCTAGTAGCTCAGTCATGACATTTCTCCTCAGAGACTGCTGGGAACATCTCTTCAGAGGGCCAAGACTCAAAGCTGTCAATGGGACTCAGAGTGTGTGAACAACTCAAGAGATGAGCTGGGACAGTCCAGCGAGTCTGGGGAAATAACGTTGGGCTTCAACTCGGGAGGCTGGGCAATAAAATCTGGGCAGAGGTGGGCTGACTAAATCTTAGTCTGATGCTTTATTAGCACTGACTTTTTAACCCCAAAGCACCTACAGTAACAATTACTAGGACTGAGGTCCGTCTCTTTGTTACTACGATAACACATAATGTGAGGTTACCAGAGTTCCCCTTTCCCGTTCTCTGATGAGCTGTCATTAGGCTCCAAGCGTGGGGCTGGGAAGAGCTGCCGCCACAGCCTTTCTCACTACTCACCGCCAGTGGGGCTGGGAAGAGCTGCCGCCACAGCCTTTCTCACTACTCACCGCCATGGCGTCGACGCCGACCCAGAGCAGCCCCGTCGGCAGGGCCAACCTGCCGTGCGCGTTTCCAAAACTGCAACTGTTCATGGGAGTAGAGGCCCATCTCTCTCCCCAATAGCCTTCTAACTACCCCTGAAAGGCTGGGGGCCTAGGTGGGAATGAAAACCCCTTCTTCCAGTAAAGAAATACTGTCTGCCATACCTAGGATAGAGGCCAACACCAACTTCCTGCATCTCGGGGTTACAGATGGTGAAAGAGTTGCAGATCACCTGTAAAAACAAGGGAGAGCCCCTCAGCATTACCAGAGTCACTTAGAAAATGTCGCAGGCCCAGCCCCAAACGTGTGAAATGAAACACGGGAGGCTGTCAGTCGTTGCTTTGGAGTGATCCAAGTGAAATAGGGAGGCTCTTTCGTTTGCAAACAACTAGATCTGGGACACAATGTCGGGCAGTGAAAGTTCAGAAGTACCAACATCCTGTAAAAAACACTGCGTTAAACCAGCACTCGGCATATTAATTTCAGTTTAATCCATGCCCCACCCCCATACAAGTTATACAGTTACATGAAATATTCAAATTCAGAATACAAATAAGCTATTTACTGAGAACTAGACTCTTAGCCTATCACATTTTTCACCGAAACAAACTGCCTGCAGTTTTCAAGTACACTGTATATCTGGGAAGCGTCAGCAGTTTGCCCTTTATGACTATAAAGCATGATGTACATAGAACCAGAGTGGGTCTGGGATCACCATTGATGACATGCCACAGCCAGCCCAAGAAGGTATTCCTCCAGCGAAATTCTGTACTTACCAGGCACACAACACCACACACACACACACACAGCACAGTTCTATCTCCTATCACTGAGTGTTCAAAGAATTTAAATCCTCATTTGGGTGACAAGGTCAGTGTGAAGGTAGTGAGCATAATCGACCTAGAATCAGAAACCCTAGATCCTGGTCACAGCTCACAGCTTAGACAGGGAGATAGCAGTGTACACAAAGACCAAGGGCTCAAGAAGAAAAAAAATGTCTTGAACATGATGATGGCAACATATGTACAAATGTGTTTGACACGATGGATGGATGGATGGATGGATGGATGGAGATAAGAGTTGTACGAGCCCCCAATAAAATGGTTAAAAGGGGAAAAAAAGGAAACAGGTGAAGTTCCTGCCTTCGTGGAGCTTCTGTTCTAGTGAGGGAGACTAATGAGAACACGAGTGATAGATACATTGTCAGCTGGGGATACACAAGGAGACAAAGGGAAAGAACAGAAGTGTGCAGGGGAAATGCTGGCCAGTAAGTCCACTAGGATAAGGTGACTTTTAAGGAGAGACCTGAAGGAAATGAACACATGCATATGTATGCCATGAGGAATCATGCCAGGAAAAGTAACACGTGCCAAGGCCCTGGGTAGGAAGGTGCTGGATGTAGTGCAGAATAAGAGCCAGAAGGCTCGTATGACCACAGCAGATTATGGAATAAGGATATGGGATATGAGATCAGAGAGGTAGCTAGATCTTCAAGGGTTTTGGAGGGCATATAAGGGCATTAAATTTCATTCTGGATGAGACAGAAAGCCAGTGGGGGGTCCTAGCTGAGGAGTGAATGGACTGATATCTGTTTTGATATGATCACTTGGGATGCTGTAAAAGGACATGATGGATGGAGGGAAACCATCCATGGATGGAGGACACATGATGGTAGTAGGGATGTTGGTAGCAGAAGGTAGGGAGAAGGGGTCGGTACTGGTCACTGGATTTAGTGACAGATTGATTATGAGGAATGAAGACATTCGTGCTGTAAAGTTTGGCCTGAGCAAATGGAAGATTATAGTTGCCATTTATTATGATTAATGTGACTATGGGAGAAACAGATTTGGTTGTAGAGTTTAGAAGCCTCATCGTTCTGTTTTAGTTGTGGTATGTGTGGAATGGGTGACCGGACATCCTAGCCAAGACTAAAAGTGGGCAACTCCCATTCAGGGTGGCAGTTAGGGCTAAAGTTATAAATTTAGGATAAACAGAGCAAAGCTCATCTAAAAGAAAGGAGACGAGGCCACTAGAGGCTTGAGATGGACTAGGAACACAAATGGATGCTGACCTTACCATAGAGTTCCAGTGGGGGGAAAGCAGTGCCCACCAGTTTCCCTGCATCAGGTTTATATGAAAGAACACAGAGTATAAAAACACACTTGGTCCTTTGAGACGCTTCCACAGCTCCAAAAACCTTTTACATGAAATTGAGTGCAACTTATCATGATTTGGCAGTTTTCCTTTAAAAGTTTGATAAAACTGCGATTTCCAATCAGGAAATAAATTGATGTACATACACATATTTTAAACACAGACTAGTTCAATGGCTAAATAGGCACCTGTTTTGCATTAAACTGCAACAGTATGCTGCCTGTGTATGTTTCAGCATATAACATGGATGGTAAATTTATTGGACAAAAGATCCTGTGTTTCCCTTTTTGAAACTTTAAACATTTTTAAATGGGTATGAGTTCTTGAGGGGTTAGGTAGGAATTTTAACATACAGTAAGGTACATTCAGGAAATGACCCAAGGTAATCAACTAACAAAAAACCCCCACTCAAAACAGAACTAATTTTCTAACTTTTGAATCCAATGAAAATTAAATATTAATTTTTTGAGCTATGAATCAAATGAAAGTCTGGTGGGATTTTTAAAAAGCATAGCTAGCTAACAAGAGAAATGTCAACAGCCATCTCTTTCTCCATGAAACATTTCTTGATCCCTACACTTAGTGAATTTTATTAATTTTTTTAGCAACTTATGTGTCCAATCTCTATTTTGCCCTGTTCCTATCTCTTTGCCCATTCTTCCTCTCCACTCTAGCTCAACTTCTAGCCCATCATTTTCCTTAGTTCGATCCTTCAGACCAGTGTGACGACTTGATTGATTCGTTGCTTATTAATCAGGGACAAATACAATGTGTTCTGGAGCACAGTGAGTTAAACAAGTGGGTTGGGAAACCCTATGAGGCAGTTCTACTCTGTCCTCTAGGGTGGCTACGAGTTGGAATGATTCTATGGCAGTGGGTGCATTTTCTGTTTGTTTTCATTCAAGACATGGGGCACATAAAAAACAGGTGCTGAATAACTGTCGGAATGCCTCATCCATTGCTGGTGGTAATGAGAAGAGGCACCATGAGAAAGAGTTTGGCTGTTCCTTAGAAATCTAAACATAGAACCCACCAATTCTACCCCTCACTGTATACCCAAAGAAATTGGAAGCAGGAAACAGATACTTGTATACTAATATTCACCACTGCACTTTTCACAACTGCAAAGAGATGGAAACCATCAAAATGTCCACTAGGAGATGAATGGAGCAACAAGATATGGTCCATCCCATACAATGGAAATTGCTTAGTGATAAAGAGAAAGGAAGTCCTGATATATACCAGAACATAAATACATCTGGAGGACATTATGTGGAGTGAAATAAGCAAGTTCCAAAAGGATAAACACTATCTGATCTCACTGTGGTGAGATAGGTAAATGTGTAGAAATCAAAGTGGTTACCTGTGGGGGGGTGAGAGCGGGGAAGAGGGAGTCATTGCTTGGGGGATACTGAGTTTCTGTCCATGGAAAATAATCGGAAAAGAATAGTGGTGATGGTTGGACAGTATCGTGAATGTGACCAATGCTAACGAATTACAAAAGTGCTGCATTAGCACATGTTTTGTTGACTATATTTTTACCATGATAAAGCAACTTAAAAAAATAAATAATTTATTGGGGGCTCTTACAGCTCTTATCACAATCCATACATATATTCATTGTGTCAAGCACATTTTTACATATGTTGCCATCATCATTTTCAAAACAATTTCTTTCTACTTGAGCCCTTGTTATCAGCTCCTCATTTTTTCTCTTTCTCCGCCACCCTCCCTTCCTCATGAACCCTTGATAGTTTACAAATTGTTATTTTTTTCATATTACACCGGCCGCGGTCTCCCTTCACCCACTTTTCTGTTGTCCATCCCCTTAGGAGGGGGGGTCATAAGTTGATCAGTATGATTGGTTCTCCCTTACTCCCCCCGCCCCCCACTCCCCTTCTCCTTCTAGGATGGGTACTCTCATTATTGGTTCTGAGGGGTTTATCTATCCTGGATTCCCTGTGTTTTGTTTTGGGTCTTTGATGTCGGATACCTGATCCCATCAACATCTCATGATCACACAGGCTAGTGTGCTTCTTCCATTTGGGCTTTGTTGCTTCTCAGCTGGATGGTTGCTTGTGTCTCTTCAAGCCTTTAAGACCCCAGATGCTATATCTTTTGATAGCCAGGCACCATCAACTTTCTTCACCACATTTGCTTATGCACCCATTTTGTCTGCAGTGATCATGTCAGGGAAGGTGAGCATCACATAGTTCCAGGTTAGTAGAACAAAGTGTTCTTGCATTGAGAGAGTACTTGAGTGAAAGCCCAATGTCCATCCGCTGCCTTAATACTTTAGAAATAAAAATATGTATATAGATCTAGTTCCCTATCATTTTATATAAATGTATTTACATATTTACATATACACATGCCTGCATTTAGAACTCTATAAATATCCTTTGCCTCCTAGTTCTTTCCATTTTCTTTTACTTTCCTCTTGCCCCACTCTCTTGTAATTTTAAAAGTACACTCAGTATTTTATTCAGGCTTCCTTCCATGGTATATGGCATTTTATTAAATACAGATTTCCACAACCACCACCATCACCGCCCCACCCAGAATCTCCTCATATACCTTAAAAGACTTTGAAAGGCACTTCCCCATCTTTCTCCTCTCTACAGACAAATATCTATCTTTCAGCACTCAATTCAAGCCTTTCCTAATATCTCCAGGCCCACTCCCTCCTTTTGGCACACATTCATTATCTTTTCCTCGCCCTGGACTTGAAGGGTTGTGAACTTGAACCCAGAAGAACAATGAGAGGGCGCGTGTCAGCTCAGGGCAACATTTCCCAAATGGGAGTCCGTGAATCCCAGGAAACACAAAATGTTTCCAGAAGGCTCACAACATCAGCGGTGGTGATGGCATCTATTTCCATTTTCAGGAATCAATAGGTGCACAACTACTCCCACGAAGAAGCCGGAGAGCCTCCAGCTTTCAGCAGTGAGCGCGCTGTGCGGAGATGGGGCCGATGACTATGCCCATGGCTCACAGGGGTGCTAGCCTTGCAGGAGTTTGGCAAGTAAAGCATTTCCAATTGTTTCTTGGTAACATATGGTTTCATTTGTACACACA